AGTGGGGTTGAGATCAGGGCTCTGTGCAGGCCACCCAAGTTCTTTCACTCCAACCTTGGCAAATCATGTCTGTATGGAGCTCGCTTTGCACACAGGGACATTGTCATGCTGGAACGGGTTTGGACTCTTTAGTTGCACTGAAGGAAAATTGTAATGCTACAGCACACAAAGACATCTTATACAATTGCGTGCTTCCAACTTTGTGGCAGTTTGGGGAACACTCACATATGGGTGTAACGGTCAGGCGTCCACAAACATTTGGCCATATAGTGTACATTTAATCTTATATTTTCAATCTGCATTCAATCCACTCTGAAATTTACAATCCACTTCACCTCATTGGCCTCGCAAGCAAATTCACAGCTGGTCTCGACTGCACCTTATCACCAAAAACAAATTTAGGTTAGTTTTTTTTTAATGGATGTGCCTTGTTCATTTTGCATGTGTGGGTCAGTTCAGGAGTGAGATCTGACCGATACTAATCACCCAGACAAAATAATCAGATTTGAGCATTAACTCTGAATTGAGTACATGTGGTGGGAATGTAGCGTTATATTGCACATTGGGATTCCCTGTGGCTTATTACTCCACTTGGCTGATAACACATCCTTGCTGATTTAACCTACTTTTTCCCAGTTGCATCTCAAAAGCCATATCAGTACTGTTTCAGCTCAGTTCACTATGTGAGTTCTTGGACGCCAAAGGGATTGAGTTAACACGTTTCAAGAGCAGAATTTTCCGTGAAGCCACTGATATTAGAGGTAATTTCCTTGTCAAAGTGAAAAATGGCAGACAATAAAATACTTCACACTTCTGTACTGTAACATTTGATTTGCTGTGGTAGAAAGGGTTTTCTGTGGCCAGCTGTTTGATGTTAGAGACAGCTGAAGTAACTTTGTTTCTTTACTCTAACAAAGGGTTTATTGAAAACAAGGGCTGTAGTGTTAAGGGTGCGAATGCCACAGCTAGTGTTCATGGGCATGTGTGCCTTGTGTGTATGAACTGTGGGAACCATGTAGGTGGAGTTTAAGATGAGAGACAATTGAGTAATTTTTCCTTGGTAAAGTTGTTTTAATGAATTCAAATCCAATATTTGTGTGTGTGACAGTGTGTATTTGTGTGTGATCTGGGCAGCACTGTGGCACATTGCCTACTCACAGCTCCAGGATTCCCAGTTTGACCCTGAACTTGGGTTACTGTCTGTGTGGCATTCCCCATGTTCTCCCCGTGTCCATGTGGGTTTCCTCCAGGGTCTCTGGTTTCCTCCCACTGTCCAAAAACATTCCAGTAGGGGGATTGGCTATGCTTAATTGCCCATAGGTATGAAAGTGTGTGAAAGTGTGTGTATTGTGCCCTGCGATGGACTGGTGTCCCATCCAGGCTGTATTCTCACCTTATGCCCAGTTTTTCTGGGATAGGCTCAGGATAACGTGGTTACTGAAGATGAATGAAGGATTGTGTGTAAGAGATGTATCAGAAACCTCATATAGGGAGCAATCTTTGTCCTAAAAAGGACATGAATGTGCTGCAAACATTTTTGCCACAGCTATTTTAGAAGTAGACTTACAGTAGATGAAATCACACTGATGCTGGTTTAAGCAGTCCTACAAGAAAAGGTCTCTGAAATCTAAGCCATATAAAAAACAGTGCATATTTATTAATACAAGAGATTTCATAATCAGGTGTTAAGCATATATGTGTGTGTGTGTGGTAGATGTGTGGTGTGTGTGAAGTGCCTCACTTGCTAAATGACTGAATTAGCAGCCTTTCCTGTGTGAGTGGGTCTGATAAAAATCTCCTGGGATTTCCCTCTAGTCCAGCTAAATATTTTGCTTCTTAAACCGTTAATTCTTCTGCATCGTATCTGAAAGTTTTGAGCTAAGTGTTGACCTACACCCTGACCTTCCTGCTTACTGATAAGAGATATAAATGTTCTCTCACTCTTTTACTCACATACAGGATTTCTCAAAGCCAAGTAAAGGGCAGGAACATGAATACGTTATGTGATAAGCTAATCTCCTGTAGTACCTGTAATAAATTCTGCTAATGAAGGCTAAAATAACTTTTCATCTGAATAAGTTCCTGAATACACACACCTGTCAATAAGTCTGTTTTTGTCAAGCTCTCTTGTGTGTGTGTGTGCATGTGTGTGTGTGTTTGTGAAACGTATTCCCTGGTGAGTTAATTCTGACTTGTGCTTCATGCATGAGTTGCATGCTTTCATGTGTTGTGAGACGGGGGGCCTTTTCCTCACACACCCACCCACATAACGCACCCACCCACCCACATATACACACACACACACACACACACACACACACACACGCACGCACACACAAGAGGGTAGGAGCATTCTGGTTGTTTCAGTTTACATGAAGGAATGAAGTCACCCAGATGGTCACGAAGTGCCTGTCCACACCACCACACCATCTCTCTCTCTCTCTCTCTCTCTCTCTCTCTCTCTCTCTCTCTCTCTCTCTCTCAGATCATGTTTAAATGTTCCCAGATTTTTGGAACAACTTAAAATACAGAAAGGGAGGAAACAGATTTGGTAGTGGTAAGAGTCAATTGGGCAGTTACGCATAAATATACAGTTAAACATGGAACAATTTAAAGAGATTGTAGTGTGGATAACGTAGGCCTTCTGTAATCTTTGTAAAGGTTTGGGGCTCAAGGGTAATAGTTCAAAAGCAGCTTGGTGAGTTTGTAATTTCTACATAACAAGGTAAACACATAATACACTTATAATATATCATATAAGTAGTGATGGCCATTGCACTAATCATAAACATGTTCTGAAATCAACTGATTTCTTAATTTTTGGGTATTGCATCAGAAACTGACTGACTAATTAAAAAAACAGCTCGCAGTCACACAATTTTCAGATCATTTAGTTTATGCATCATTTAATATCATGTTTTGTTTGAGGTATTTACAGTATAGTGCTATACTGACATACAGCAATATGGAAATTTACTGTTATCTTTTCTGACCTCTAATTCAGAGGGGGTTCCAATAATAGTGATTTCTCTTCTTCACTGCATGCTATTTTCAATTATTTTCTATGCAAAATTATTGTATTTTTTTAATGTGGAAAATATGTTGCCATTCAACACATAAAATGGTGTGCAAGATCCTTTTCAGTCATGAAATATAGCCAAACATGGTAACGTCACAGTGACAGTGGGAATAAGATAAAACTGTCAGAAATATCATTACCAAAATATTATTGGTAAATTAGTAAGAGGAGACTTATTTCTTATCAACTTGTGTAATCTGAGTTATGTGAAAAGTTTCAATGATAGGGTGGCGTGATTCACAGAGGGCAATCACTAATCCAAGGTTTTTTTGGATACAATAACAGTATGTCATAAAGTGTTTTATTTCTCTTATACAACACAATTTGCCAATGCAAACATATTTTTATTTATTAAAGAATGACACATCATTTGTTTATCCATTTGTAGTTACATGTAATGTGGAACATTTGTGAAACAACCCAATGGACAAAATGACCCAACCAAATGGCTGACGTTGGCCTTGGGAAGTTAATTCCTTCCTCGCTTACATTACAGCAGCTATAAACAGTCATTCCCTCAGCAGCCTCTCTTTTCTCTCTCTTGAAGTTAATAAAACAAAAAAGCATCTTGTAATGTTACTGAGAAACCACAAAACCCTCCATCTAGAAGACTTTCCCATGTTGGAAAACTTTGACTGTTACAAAGCCCTGACAATAGTGACTCCTTCCAGAAATGCTAAATAAATCTCTAACAGAAAACTTCACCGTATCATTAATCCATTTATATGAAGTGGCTACCATACATGTCCCTGTTAAGTTGTTACTACAGAAATGATATCATATTAGAATGAGCACGTTAATATAAACCTGTGAGTTGCCTTATCTGGCACCATTATCGGAGCTGCTGTTATACAAAATTAATCAACAATTTCTGACCAATCAGAGTTGAGAATTCAACAACACTGTGGTATAAATGTGCATCATTGAATTTCACTCTAAAATACTTATTGGGTAAGTTTCAACTCTTTGACAAGCGTGTTAGGAAATGAAATATCTGTCCATAAGGCCTCAATTCCCGTTACGCCTGTGCTGGATGCATTGCACATTCGTCATGGCTATGGTTTGGCAGGGCATACACACACACACCTGTGCACACACACACACACACACTGAAAACTGGTATAAATTTACTGTAGAAAATTGACATAATGGAGACTTACTGTATGTTCCCCATGACACATAATCAAACACACACGAAGCAGCATGCTTTGGATGATTGAGACCTCAGAGAGGGCTGGTTTCTGGGTTTCTGATCCATGTGCTGGCTGGAACAATGCTATGTTGTGTATGGCTCCTCCAGAGCTTTTGCTGCCTGCTACTCTAGTTCTGGACTCAATCACACACTCACACACACCCATGGAAACCATTCCCAGAGGGTGACAACTGGCCAAACAGCTGTCCCCTGGCAGGATGTAAACAATTTCACATTCTTAGCCTCATTACAGTGGTCAGTTATGAACTCACTGAGCTCAAAATCATTCATTTACTCACTTATTGTCTGTAACCTGGCTTAAGGCAGGAGCAGTATGGGACCCAGCATGGGACGGTAATCCAAGATGGGGAATTAGCTCCAAATTCCACAACATATTTAATTCTTTGGCCCTACCAACTTCCATAATACCTGAAGTCAGGACTTTTTGTCCTTCAACTTTCAGAAGGGTGACAGTCCACTTCATGAGCTCCCAAAAAAGTCAATTTCTATATTTTTACTATCCCCTGTTCTGTGTGTGAAGTAGGGGTGAAAGGCATTGCAACTACCTATATTTATATCTACAAGAATGATTAGAGAAGAAAGCAGTAACAAGAATGAACCAATACAAACTTAAAAATGGCACCGTTGCTACAGGAACCAAGATGTAAAGACTGTGACAACTGGAATTACTTATGATGAACTTTAAGCCATAAATGTCAGCTTGTAGGGGGCATGGTGGCTTAGTGGTTAGCACTGTTGCCTCTCACCTTCAGTTGGGGGTTTGATTCCCGCCTCTGCCGTGTGTGCAGAGTTTGCATGTTCTCCCCGTGCTCTGGGGGTTTCCTCCCCAGTCCAAAGACATGTGTTGTAGGCTGACTGGCATTTTCAAATTGTCCATGGTGTGTGTGATTGTGCCCTGCGATGTGCCGTCCAGGGTGTCCTTCGCCTTGTGCCCTGAGTCCCCTGGGATAGGCTCCAGGTTACCCTGCGACCTTGTGTAGGATAAGTGGTACAGAAAATGGATGGATGGAGGTCAGCTTGTGAGTATTGCTGATTGTTCACTGACATGGAAAAGAAATAGTTTTGGAGAAGTGGTGGGGTGGAGTAGAAGGGTCTTGCTCCCAGAAAATGAAGCTCAGAAAACTGGAACAGAGATGAGCTGAATGCAGGCAAGTTACCCCAGTAAAAGATCCCACATGGTTTCATGAATCCAATCTCATGATAAATTTGTACAGATTTGAACAAGTGAGGTTGATGTGGTTGGATTTCATTTGAAAAGAAAATGATACTAAGGCTAACCCACCACAGCCCTAACCTTAACTGAACTATTACAGATTTGCATGTCTGAGATCATGTGGGATTCCATTAAAAAGTTGATCTTGCTTGTATTTATTTATTCCTAGTTTAGAAATTTGCATTATTCCACAGTAGTACCAAAATACCCTTCCCATCTCAGTCATGGCACAGAAAGAGCTTCTTCTGTTTCTTCTGACATACAATGAACATCAGATCTTACTTGTACCAAAGCATTATTTAGACACGATATGATTTCTGAACATACATTATGACTGTCTATGTATGTATGTTTCTGAAGGATGCTTGTAGGAATTATGATCAATTCACATTGGGTAAGCGATCTCTGTATAAATCACAGAGATTTGAGTGTCTTCGTGATGTACGCATAAAAACTATGTGTGTACTGCAAACTCCTCATTTTAATACAAACTGAATATTTTGACTTATTTTAAATTGAATATATTTAAAATATTTTGACTATTTTAAATTGTGCTTCATCATTAGTGGGTCACATGACCATATATTTTTTGCAGGCTATAGTAATAACTTACTTAAAACTCCTGAAATGTTCTAAAACCCTTGTTCTGCATCTTAAGCTCAGCCAATAATTTCTTTCGTTTTGTTTTCCCCGGGAGATGATTGAAAAGAGCAAGCACTTCCTGGGGTGTCTTTATACTGACAAAAAAGCGTGAAATCTCTTTACCCACAGGATATAATGGAATCTTTACCAGCATGTCAATTCAGATGGGATATACAGTACATTCCATGGGGTTATTTCTACTGGTGTACTCTTTCCAGATGTGTGCACGCACTGTCTATAAAAAAAATGACTGACATTGTGGATTCAGATGGGATCACAATCCCAGAGATACTCCAAAATAATTACATTTCCCCACATCCTCATTTAAAGCTAGTCCAATCTGAATACGGCCTAATACTGCATCTTCAGAACCTTAAACCGTATCCCAAGTTTAGCTCCTGACTGCTGTTTAGTTTGGCCCTGTATAATGAGGCTCTGCAAAATAAAAAGCTAATTCTAGCATATAAAAATGGCGTATACTCACACATGCTGAGAAAGACCAGAGCAACAGCTGGCCAGTAAATCATAGTGTGATTTGTTTAACCTCTATGGTGAGTGCAGCCATGGCACTAGATCGGAATTACATCCATATACACATATACACTTCCACATATACACAAATGACTGAGAAATATGCAAATAAGACTGGGCAAAGATTAGAACTGAAGAAAATGGGAGGAAACTGTATTTTAAAAAGTTGGTGACATGTTGCTTAGCAACAGTGTTCTCAGCATAAAGCATAGGTCCTCCACCTTCTCCAGGGAATTTTTACCTAACCATTATTTTTAATGTCATTCTAAGCATATAAACTTGATTTAAGGAATATTTAATAATAATTAAGTATATTAAAATTTCATTAGCCTTTATTCGTGGAGAATGTCTTATGCTCATTTTACACTAGACCACAGAGGAAATACCAAAGCCTGGCACTGGCAGCTCACAGAGTGTCTATTTAAAATAAAAATGAGGTCACTGGCCAAAAAGGTTGAAAACCCCTGGTGTAAAAACTTTTGCACAACAAAAATTTATGAAAAAAAGGGTTTTGTTGGTCAGAGAAAGGATGGGGGGAAGAGCTGAGGGGATGAATGAAGGTGAAGTTGTCACGGTATAATTCAAAGTGATATTTGAAGCGAAGAGAAATAGAGCCTAAAGAAATGCATTTACCAGCTGTCAGATTACCAGCTGTGACTGTCTCTATATGTGTAAGGACTCTGTGTCTCCATAACAACAACACACTTGGCTTCTATCTATAAAAATGTAGAAGAGAAGATTAAAAAAATAGAAGTGAAGAACTGAGAGGTCATTAAACTCTTTTGGCCTGTATTTATATACAAGGTCCAGGATTTTATAGTCATAAATGAAGTATATCTAAAAAGAATGTGTAGCTAAAAGTATTTGTGGTTGGCATTTTCATTGGGTCAGTATGGTATAGGATTTGTGCATAAATAACTTTATTAAATGGGAATGTATTTTTATTTATCGTTAAATGAATCTAATCTATACAGAACACCCAAGTGCCAACCAAGCAAAAAAATTCAGGCAAGCCAGAAATAATAATTGCAATATTTACAATAAAAAAAAAAAAGAATTAACACATTAACACTCTGGTCACATAGAGTTGGAAACTTTACTGAAGGGACTGAAATGATAAAGAAACTGAGAGAGAGGGAGAGAGAGAGAGAGAGAGAGAGAGAGAGAGAGAGAAATTTATTGAGGCCCTGTCCACATGTACAGTATTCAGATATTTTTTGATAAAGTAGTTATTACTATATAACTTCATTTAAAGCAGCCTTCAACAATGATGTGAAAACTCTCACATGAACACACCAGCTCAGTAATAGTGTGTCATGATATGTTGTGTCAAATTTTTCAAGAATACCATGAAGAGCTTGAGCATTGTTGAGCAGAAATGTGGAACAACACCAACATGGCCAAACGTTTTAAAACAAAACATGACAAACACACAGATTCAAATGCGTGGACTAACAACGAGGTCAAACTACTGCTTAAGGTTGGCCCGGGTTTTATCCAACATCTGAGTTCACAGCAAAAACTTTATCAAATAAGGAATTACAGACCAAAAACTAACAGCCTGGTCAGCAGCCATGATAAATGGAGTCTTAACACATTGATAACACATGCAAAACCTCAATGGGCATGCACAGATTTTGCAGCGTTTGCAAAAAGATATGTTTTTCCAATCTACAGTTTTCGTGTGGACAGCAGGCCAAAACAAGAGAAAAACTATTTTTCAAAAAAAAAAAAAATCCATATACATGTAGACGGGGCCTGTGAGAAAAGTGGAGGAAGCACTGGTTTATCTGCTAATGATTCTACAGAGCAGGGGTTCTCAAGCTTTTTTGCATTCAAGAACCCCTTTTAGGGTAAAAGACTTTCCAAGGGCCCCTTATTTATTTACAGCTCAGATTTTATTTTAAGAACAACAGGCTAATATGTTCTCTTTTCATTTTTTCAAGCCATTCAAGATTTTTTTTTAAACTCCTGAATTTTCCATGCATAGATTTGAAAAATTGTGTATCATATTAACCTCACTTCCTGGATTTCATTTCAAAATTACAGTAAAAGTTTATTGCAGTAAAACATTATTCATCATCAAACAATCGTTAATTCATTAAATTAAAGTAATAATAAAGTCATGTGATTCCATGTCTGGATATACATCACAGACCCCATTTTGAGATCCATGGCCTGGTATAAAAATTACAATGAGAATTACATTGTATGTCAGAGTGAATCAGAGACTTGATTCCGAGTGTGAGTGTGAATCAACTGTGAATGAATTGAGTGCCACTCTGTGTTAACACATGTGAGGAGAGAAAGAGCCAGATTGTAGGGGGAACCACAAGGCAGGCAGAGCCGACTCTGTGCCAGGGGGACGGCACTTCACCACGCTTAAAATGACATGCAACTCTGTAATCATTCCCTCATGATGCTAACTGCACTAGCCAGCCATCGATTAGTTCCACACTCCAGCTGCTGACAGGAACAGCCAAGAGCTACAACACAGCAAGAAATCGATAGTGATCACACACTGAGAAGATATAATATGTGCCAGATCTTTTGGTTTTAGATATAAACAGTGAGATATGAGCATCAAACCAGGCTCTCACTGAGCATATTACACTGCCTGTTTAGTAGTGTGGTGTGTCAGTGGTCTAGTGTGCTTTACACTTTGCCCAAATACTCAAGGATCCATTCTGGGTTTGTTTTGGGAAAACATTAACATCATAGGTTCAGAAAATTCCTTCCATACCATGGATCAGTTCCACAGTTTTATATGTTACTCCTGCATTGCATAAATGTGAGATTAAGGGTACATCCATACATTGTTCTAATTCATTTACTGGCACTGTTCAGTGGTTTGCACAATGGGTAGTGTTGCCACCTCACAGAGGTCTCCGGTTTGATCCTGAGTTCAGTTAACTGTCTGTGGAATTTCACATGCTTGAAATTTTATATATATATATATATATATATATATATATATATATATATATATATATGTAATGAAACAGGAAGTAACATGAAGTCTTATATTATATTATTATGAAACAGGAAGTAACATGACAAGTTCAACCAATCACATTATTCAAAGCCTGGCCCCAGGAGTAGATCATTTTCACACTGTACACTAAATGTCTAATAGAAGTGAAGCCCAGATCACAGTTTTCAGGTGGCCCAGACATCTGCACCAGAGTTTACATTTATTTATAAAAAATTTATTTAATCCAAAGTGACTTACTGCTGAAACAAGATTCACTGCAAGCTGCTGAGGGTTAAGGGTCTTGCTCAAGGACCCAACAGTGGTAGCTTAGTGGTTCTAGGATTTTAAGTCTTCCATTTAAGGCCAGTAAAAATAATTAAATACACAAATGTAACACAACTCTGGACACTTAGTGGAGT